AGCGGGTACGTGAGGATGCACGCATGGAGCACAGTGGTTTTCTTTCCCTGGACCGCTTGAGAGGAAAGAATGGTTTTCGGTCTGTGTGGAATGATGCTTTATTCTGATTTATCGGACCGAATCCACACTGAACTGTATAGTGGAAATCATAAAATTCTGAGTGCTTTCCCTGCTTGAAGGGACTCGCTGCATTGTGGCACAGATTCGATTATTTGAATCTGATGAATAGCAGCAATTTTCTGGCCTCGTAAGCAGCTGTGGAACTGCTTCATTATTGATGAGGCCTGTGTCCACAGAGGACTGGTGCCTCCGCAGAGCCAGCAGCCACCTGGCGGGGGAGGTTTTCTTTTACTCCCGACGGCGTGATTGCCGAAGAAACTTAAAACTTGCTTCAGAGGAGGCTCAGAGTTCCCAGATTTGAAGGTGGGGCTGTAGTGCTCGGAGTCTGCCTAGCTTGTCCCCGCAGCGCGCATTTGAGGAGAAATTAAAAGTCAGCCATTCGTTCGGAGTCGTTCTTGCTGGCTAAGAATTTGGAGCTACAGCTCTTCGTGGCTAGGACCCCAGCATCTGAATCATGTGCATGAGAGCTGCTTTTGCTTCCCTGTAGCTTGGAAACTCGGCTGTGCCCCATTGGACCCGTCACTGAGACTCAGTTTCCTTGCTTCTAAATTGGGCTCACAGTGGCTGGCTCGTTAGGGTGATGCAGGCTCAGTGAGTGGATGTTTGGTGCACATCGCTAAGCGTGTCTTCTCTTCATTACCCCGTGGCATCTGGCACAGAACTGCATCCCCTGGGCACACGCAGATAGGTGGGAGGGCTGGGAACCTCGGCAGAACAGGAAAGGGAACAGAGCGTGTGGGTAGTACTGGGGGGCCGGTAGCCGGGCAGGGCAGTGGGCTGCATGGGGCGGGGTGGGGGGCGAGCCGGGAGGCAGGGCCAGCGGCGGAGTGGAGTGGCCCTGGAGGCCACAGGGAAGCTCTTAGAAATTTGTCTCCTACGAAGGGGGGACCAGAAACACATTTAAAGCAGCAGACAGACATGGTCCGGACTATTGTTTTAGAATAGACCGAAAGCAGTGGGGCGGGCGGCGAGGAGAACGTGGGGGAGGCCGACCCAGCGAGGGGGCAGGCAGGGGGCCGTGGCATCTGGCCTGGCGCAGCAGTGGGTGTCCAGAGGGGCCGGGCGGAGTCGAGAGCCCCTTGGAGAGGAGAATGCGCAGGACCTGGGGCACATGGGATGTGGGGGCACGAGGGAATGGCGAGAACTCAAAAATGACTTGGAGGTTTCCAGCTTGGGTAACTGAGTGAGTGACGATGCCAGAAACTGAGGTGGGGAAGGGAGGAAGAGGTCTGCGGTGAGGAGGAGACAGCACGCTCAGAGGACTCGATGACTGTAATATGAACACACGCCCACGGAGAGCTGCCTTCAGCTGTGAAAAACAAAGCCCGGCACGGGGAGCACCAGCCCGCTGCCCTGACTCCCGCCGGAACTGCAGTTACAAACAAGCGGTCCGAATGACCCATCGGCAAAATCTGGAACGGACCCTTCTTGTCGTTCCCCCGTCACCCGTGCAGCCTGTGGTTCCAGGTGCTGCTAGAGGGTGGGTTTCGCAGTGAACTCGGGTTCTCGGTCTGCAGCCCTGAGGTCCCCAGGACACCTGGGACAGACTGTAGGAGCCGCCGTTCCCGTCCTGGCGCTGCTGCTCACCGACTGTGGACACCTTAGGCAAGTCACATAATCTCTCCGGGTGTTTCTTCTTTTGTCTTTCCGGTGGGACTCAGCGTGGCACTCTGTGAGGCTAAAATAAGATGTGTCCACACCGCATAGCCCAGGGTCCGGCACACTGTAAGTGCAGCCGTCGTGGCTCCTTACTGGTGGTTATGCCTAGCCTGACTTTAGGGCATGTGTATTGGGTTTGACACCTGCTTGTGTCCTCTGTGCCCATGGGAAAGGGGAGACCTGGTCCTAAGTGTTACGTATATACTGTAAATATTTATTTAAGTCATCTGTACACCCACCGTGGGGCTCGAACTCATGACCCCGAGATCAGAATACGTGATCCACCAACTGTGCCAGCCAGGCGCCCTTAAGTGTTCTATTTTCATGATGATAAGAGTGAAGTTTCCATGGTTATGGGAGATCTTGCCTGATCTTCCATATTCATTCATTCATTCATTCACTCATTCACAATTGAAGCTGTCTCAAGGAGTTCACAAGCTAGTAGGGGAAACCAACAGGAGAACGTGTACCTGTGGTAACGTGTGATGTGGCCCCATGTGGTTCCTCAGTACCAGGGGGTAGGGGTGGAGGAAGGGATGTGCCTTGCTGGAGGTAGAGGAGCAGAGGAGGAAGGCTAGACAGTGAGTAGGAGTGCATTCTTAGCTGGGCCAGACCACAGGGAGGGGTTTGCCGCACGGCCAGGAAGGGTGCTCCTCTTGTTAGGGGTGACCAGCAGAAGCCCTGGCAGCTGACCAGTGTGGGGTCTGGAGAAGAGCCCAGAAGAAGCTGGAGATGTGGCCTCCTTCGATGCCTTCCTGAATGTGGGGCATGAGGCTGTGGGACATGGAAAGGTTTAAGGTGGGGGGTCTGCACAAGGCGTGGCGTAGAGCAGGGAGGTCAGTTAGCAGTGGAGGAACTGGTGTAGGGACTTTGGTGCTGGAGAGAGTGACCAAGTGAAGAGTTAGAGGGGGTTGAATCCCCAGGACGGGTGACTGATTGGCCCGTTAGGAGGAGAGACGGGTGGGGTCACTGGGGCTGTGGTGACTCTGCCTTCAGGCGGGGAGGAGGACCTGGCCTGCTGGAGAAGGGGCTGTGCTGGGTCTGGGACAGTGCAGTTGGACGTCCCCCGGGGGAGCGCCAGTCCCAACCATCACACAGATAGCTGGGTCAGGAAAACGTCTGCTCAGGAGAGAGGTCGGGGAGGCACCAGAGTGGATGAGGCCCCTAAGAGAGGGGGTCTGTGGGATGAGGGAGGCTCTGGGGCTGGCCGGCGGGTGTCACCGTCCCTGTGGATTCTGACCTGGGCCCCACTGAAACCAGAGGGGGCACCCAGCTTTGAGTTTAGAGGGTCGGGAGCTCCGGAGATCCTGGCAGGCTTGGCGTGTTCCCTGTGCGGAAACCATTCATCTCGTCAGGGCCTGTTTGTCTCGGGCACTCAGGGACCGAGCGGTTTGCACCGGTCTCATAGTCACCGACTGGGGACAGTTTCCAGCTCCCAAGGTCTCCAGAGACTGTGCCCTGTGGGGTTTGCCTTAAACAGTAGCCGTTCCCTGCCCCCCCCGCCCCGCCCCCGCCCGCTGTGCTGGGGGGGGCGGGGCTCAGCCTGTGCGCTTGACACGCTGGCTCCTCTGAGGTTCTGTTTTGTTTGTTTGTCTTTCTAATGGGCTAACTTTCTTTTCTTTTTCTTTTTTTTTTTTTTTTGGCTAAGTTACATTAAAGTGTCGGCCCAAGTTGACAGGCTGGGGGAGTCCAGTGATGCCATGGAGACCGGGCTAGGGGAGGGGCCAGCCCCCTTGTTATCTTGGGAAGCTCACACGTGGGTACCTGGGACTGGGCTGGGCCTTTCCTGAGGTCTCAGCAGGCGGGCTGGCGGAGGGGGGGGCGGTGGAGGGAAGGATGGCTGATAAGAGGGAGCTGACAGACGTCTGGAGTAGGCCCCACATAGGTGTGGACTGCCCCTCCCCAGCCACGGTCACACCTCTCCTGTCAGCCCGAGGGCTTGAGGTGCAGGGCCAGGGAAGGAGAGAGAGCAAAGCAAGCGGGAAGCTGGGAGTTGGCCAGTTCAACCGAGGAAGTATTTTTCTCTTCTGGAAGTATGCTCCTTCTTAGTATTTTTCGTCTGCTTTTTATTTTCCCATGTTTAATAAAAGAACACAGGTACCGAGACACATTTCCTGACCCTAGTGCTGGGGCCGTGGGAGTGTGGGCACCTAAATAAAAGGGCTGCTGTTGCCAGGCGTTTCACGTTTTCAAGAAAAGCTGGGAGTCTCGATTGAATGGGAAATCTACCAGTTAGCTCAGATTTTTAAAAATAAACACTTCAGGCCAAGTGAAGTCCACCTGAGGGCCGGAGGAGGCCCGGGGACCGTGGTCAGTGTTCTCCAGGCCGGACATGCCTCACTAACATCCTGCCTGACCAAGGCATGGTGGGACTTACTCCCTGGGGTCAGGGAACACTTGACCGGACTGAGTCCCCTCCAGATTCTTCTCTGACGTGAGCCTGGGTCTGTGGTTTTAAACCTGTTTTTAAAACAGCAGAGCCTTTGCATAAACCAAATCTTACAGGGAATAGGACACATAGAAAAACCAGGGCTGCCCAGCTTGTAGGGAGAGTCTGGAGTTCTGCCTCAAGGCTGCCCTCCGCCCTCCCCCACGGGGCGCCTCCGCCGGGCCCCACAGAACACAGGGCAGTGGTTGCCCAGCTGCGGGCCAGCGCTCTCCACCGCTCCCAGCCCTGGCATGCTGTGGGTTGAATGGGAGAAGGAGGACAGCAGGGCCGGAGGGGCAGCGAGCCACGGTGGGTCTGCCCCACAGCCGGCTCCTTGCCTGCGCTCTGCCCGGTACCTGCGCAGGGCGAGCAGCCCACCACGGTGCGGCCACAGCCGCTGGGCACTTTCCATGCCACACTTGCCCCAGCACGCATCACTGTTTCCATTTCACAGGTGGGTAAACCAAGACGCAGGAGGGGGAAGTGAGTTGCCCACCGGTCACTTGGCTGGCCTGTGGAGGGGCCTAAATCCATCCATCCATCCATCCATCCCCCCCCCCCCCCGCCAAAGGTTGCCGCCTCCCTTGGGTCCCTTGGGGCCTCTTTCTTTCTTCGCTGAGAACTGGCCTTCCCCCCACTCCCTGGCAGCCCCGCCCACCTGAGGCTCCTGGGTCCCAGCAGTAGTGGTTCCGTGTGCTTTAATTTGCAAAGCCCCCTTCAGATAACGATCTCGTTTTTGCTGGTGTCAGGCTGGACTCGTCTAAACAGGACTCTCCTTTCTATTGCCATGCAGGAGGCAGAGCCCTCTGAGCCCAGAAGCGCGGAGGTGACGAGGAAACCCAAGGCTGTTGCTCTTTCCGCCAGCAAGAGGCCCAAGAAGGAGTCCAAGAAGAAGCGGTAGAAGAGGCCTGCAGAGCTAGGCAGCCGGGGCAGCGGCCTTCCGGGGCAGCCCTCCTGGGACTCAACGCCCTGTTCCCTCAGTTGTCCCAGGGTCAGGGCTGAAGTGGCTGGGCCGCTCTCTGACCACAGAGATCTGGACAATCATGACAGTCCCCAGGCCCCAGCTGGGCAGCCCACCACTTCCTCTTCCTTCTGCTCCCGTGACCGTGCAGAGCCAAGGGGACTAAAACACCCTGTGTACAGAGGCTGGGTAAGAAGTCTGTTCAGAAGTTGGGTCAGCTCAGAGTCACATTTCCATACTTCATTATTGTGTCCAGCCTTCAGGCCCCCACTTGTGGATTCACACTACATTTTAGAGTCGTGATCTCAGGCTGACGAGCACCGCCCCTCCCGTTCCGCGAGCACCGCAGACCTGCTCATCAGCCACCTTTGTCCCTGCTGTACGGATGGAGCCAGGCCAGGCCTGCCCTGTGTGTTTAGGTCAAGACGCCATGGCCACTGTGCTGTAGGTGGTCCCTCAGGCACAACGGCCAGGCCCGATGCTGGCGGGAGAGCCTGCGGGAGAGCCGGCCAGGGTCATGCCTGGTTCTCCTCTGGCAGATGGAAGGGATTTGGCTGTATGACTGCATGTTCTTGGGCCCAGACTTTCTTAGCCTCTGAAATGGGGGGCTTGTCCGTCTCAGACCAACCACTTTTCAGCCCACCATGACACATTCAGCCTTTTGGCTTCCATCCGTACACCTCCCCTCTCCCCACCAGTTACTTTAGCCCCAGAACAGCGAGGAAAAGTTCATCTGGGCAAGTAAACGTCAATAAACTGCCTCACATGCTGAACCTTCTGTGCGCTACCTGCTGCTGAGGGAGAAGGGGAGTCTGGGGCCCTGCCTTGGGTGCAGGGAAGGGGCTCAGCCCCAGAGAAGTGGGAGAGTAGGGCTGAGGATGGTCAGAGCAGCGCTGCAGGCTGAGCCGTTCCGGGACAGGTTTCAGGAAGGGTCCAGCCAACTGCTTCATGTGGCCCTTAGTCATTGGAGACACTCGTGAACGTCCATGCGTGTGTGAGAGTTTCCACCGGGGCTGCGTCCCACTCATTCCCCAGTTCCCATTGCCAGAGGAAGATGCTGCTTGTCCTCCAAGCAGCTTGACAAAAACCAACTAGAAGGCCTCACGTGGCGTGGGGTGGGTCACGCAGGTCCAGTCACATGCCCTGCATCAGCTGCCAAGGAAAAGCCTCGAGCTCTGGTAACTCTGATTTGCCGGGCTGCTTTCCAGTTTGCCAGACACTTTCCCAAATGTCGTCACAACCAGTGAGGAGGTGTATCACTTCCATTTTAGAGATGGGAGACTGAAGTCCAAAGTACTTGAAAGTGCCAGAAGTCGGGCTTGGGTCCAAGTCCATGGCCCTTTCCTTGGTATTTAACAAATACTCAGGGAGTGTCTGTAGGCGCAGTGTGTAAGGGGCCCCACTAAGGTCTGGGACGTCTAGGGGCTGGAGCTTCGGTGGAGCAGGACCAGGCGTGGCCAGATGTTTACTGAGAGCCCATTAGATGCCTCGCACCTGCTAGGCGCCCAGGATGCAGAAAGGAGGAAGCTTGCCTAGCCCAGTGGGAGACTCAGACATGGAAGGAGACTTGGGGTGGGGAGTTGTCCAATTGGGGAGCAGCAGATCCTGTGGGAGCTGAGCAGAGGGATACCCAGCTCCATATGGGTGGTCAGCACAGCCACCTGGCAGAGGGGAGGTGACTGAACGGAGTCTTAAAGCCTGGCTGGAGGTGAGACCAGAGGGAAATCATGCTGGGAGAGTGGCGGGGGGGCAACCTCTGGAGCGGACGTACTCCAGCCTCCTGCAGGGGAGACAACCTCTGGCTCACAGGAACAAGGCTGCCTCAGTACGTCCAACTCCCTTAAATTGTCTCCCTTGGAGGCTGTTTGCCAGAAAACAGCCCTCAGAAGCAAGAGGGTCATCCTCTGCTCCACCAACCTCTCATGCCATGCTTACTGTGGGCAAAGTTTGCAGCCTTTGGCTCTCTTGACTGCCAGGACCCCACCTTCACGTGCTTTTCCTCCCGCATCACTGGCTCCTCCTCACCAGAGGGGCCCCAGGTCTCCGTCCTCCGTCCTCTCATCTCTGCACACATCCCTCAGAGATTTATGTCATCCAGGCTCTTGGCTTTAAATTCCACCTACATAACCTGCTGAAGTGTCCCAAACAAATCCCTCCAGACCCCCATCCTGAATTCCAGACTCCCATATCCGACTTCCTGCTCCTCTCTCTGTCTGGGTTCCCAACACACATGTCAGAGCAAATTCCTGATTTCTCATCAGCAGTCCCAAGTCAGCTTTTTGTGGTGGTCCCCATCTTAAAGAGCATCTTGATTCTTTCAGTTGCTCCCGCCAAAAACCTTGGACTCATCCCTGATTCCCCTTTTGCAGCGCTTCTCCACTTCTGACCCTTCAGTGATTCCTTGACTCGACCTTCAAAATCCACTTCCCTCTGTTGCCTCAGCCCAGCCCCCAGCCTCTCACATGGATGCTGCAGCAGCCTCTTCATGGGTAGTCCTTTGTCCACATAGCTGCCCAAGGGGTCCTGGTAAAACCTGTAGGATCGTGTCCCTCACATTCTCCCACCTCACTCATGGAAAAGTCAGAGTCCCCACTGGGACCCACAAGGGCCTGCAAGAACCACTCCACCTCTTTCACCTTTCTGCCCTTGTGAGAGGTCATGCTGCCTTTGCCCACTCCACTGCATCCTCACTGGTCTCCAGCTTCCTCAGGCATGCCAGAAGAGCCCTGCCTCAGGGCCTTTGAACTTGCTATTCCCACTTCTTCTAGGTACCATGTCTCATATGGTAGGCAATAATGGGCTGCCCAAAGATGTCCATATCCTAATCCCCAGAACCTGTAACCCTGTTACCTTTCACGGCAAAGTGACTTTGTAGATGTGATTAAGGATCTTGAGATGGGAAGATTATTCTGGATGGTTGAGGTGGGCCCTATGTCATCACAAACAGCCTTATAAGGAGAAGAGGGAGGGAGGAAAGTCAAAGAGAAGGCTATGTGATGACAGAAGAAGGTAGAATAATGTGGGATCACAAACCAAGGAAGGTGGGGCCTCTAGAAGCCAGAAAAGGCAAGAGGATGGATTCTCCCCTGGAGCCTCCAGAAGGAACACAGCTCTGCTAACACCTAGATTTCAGCCCTGTGAGCCCCATTTTGGACTCCTGACCTCAAGAACTGTAAAGAATGACATTTGTGTTGTGTAAGCCATGAGGTTTGTTAGAACGGCTGTAGGAAATGGATACACCTCACTTCCCTCGGGTCATCACAGAGGGAAGCCTTCTCCAGCCAGCCAGTTTCAAATCTCCCCCAAGCTTCCTATCCCTCATCACTTATTTTTCTCTCCTTAGCTTACATATTACCAGCTAACATACTAGGTATTACACTTCGTCTATTGTCTTATACCCCAACTGGAATGTGAGCACCAAGAAGAAAGGAACTTTATTGTTTTCCTTGCTCCTAGTTGAATCCCCAGGGCCTAGAAGAGTGCTGGGCGCATAGTAGGTACTCAATAAATATTTATTTATTGGGTGTGTAGTATAGTAGGGGAAGGTGGCCTGCCCTGACAATACAGCTTAGTGAATAAACATGACACCTACCCAGATAGTTTACATGAATGAATTTTCCTATCCTCAGAGCAACCCCATGAGGTTGGTAACATTATCATCCCCATTTTACAGATGAGGGTATGGAGGTGCCTGGGATTGCACTCAGGCAGCCTGACTCCAGTGCCTGCCCTCTGAGCCATGTTGCTGTTTCCTCCCTTTCTGCCCTGGAATTCTCATGGGGGTTTCTCTGGGGGAGAAAAGATTGGGCCCAGGTGCTGGAGGCTTCACTATCCAAAGGACTAAATCACTAATGGCAAAATTATGCTCATCAATGAGGAAGAGACTCTAGGGTGAAGAGTTGTTGCTGTTTTAATCTTACTGAGGTAAAATTCACATAACATAAAATTAGCCATTTTAAAATGCACAACTCAGTGGCATTGATTACATTTACCATGGCACCCGGGTGGCTCAGTCGGTTAAGCATCCGACTCTTGGTTTCAGCTCAGGTCATGATCTCTGGGTCCTGAGATTGAGCCCAGTGTCAGGCTCCAGTCCATCTCCCTCTGCCCCTCCCCAGCCCAAGCTTGTGAGCGCATGCTTTCTCTCAAATAAATGAATAAATAAAATCTTAAAAAAAATCAATGAAAAAGAATAAGTTTATGATGTGCAACGCCCACCTCCATCTAGTTCCAAATCATTTTTGTCACCCCAAAAGAAAACCTCATACCCGTTTAACAGTTTCTCCCCATTCACCTTTCCTCCAGCCCCTGGCAACCACCAGTCGGCTCTCTGTAGGTGTGAGGTACCCATTCTGGATATTTCATACAAACGGAACCACACAGGGGCGCCTGGGTGGCTCAGTCGTTAAGCGTCTGCCTTCAGCTCAGGTCATGATCCCAGGCTTCTGGGATCGAGCCCCGCATCGGGCTCCCTGCTCCATGGGAAGCCTGCTTCTCCCTCTCCCACTCCCCCTGCTTGTGTTCCCTCTCTCACTGTGTCTCTCTCTGTCAAATAATCTTAAAAAAAAAAAAAATTTAAACAAATGGAACCACACAGTTTGTGACCTCTGCATGTCTGGTTTCTTTCTCTTAGTATGAGTTTCTGAGGTTCTTCCATGTTGTAGCAAAGTGTAGCATTCATCCTCTTTAGGGCTAAATGCTATCCCATTGTGTGCATGCGTGTGGAGATGTAGCTGTGTGGTGTTATCAAAGGAATTTACATCTCTGATTTTCAGAGTCCACCAAATGGGAGATCATACAATAACCTTGTAGGGCAATTGTAAAAATTAGGCATGCCGGGCACCTGGGTGGCTCAGTCGGTTAAACGTCTGTCTTCGACTCAGGTCATGATCTCAGGGTCCTGGCATCGAGCCCCACATCGGGCTGCCTGCTCAGTGGGGAGTCTGCATCTCCCTCTGCCCCTGCCCCTGCTCATGCACGCACGGCGCGGGCACGCTCTCTCTCAAAAAAAAACCCAAAAAAACCTTAAAAAAAATTAGACATACTGGGGGAACCTGGCTAGCTCAGTCAGTGGAGCATACAACTCTTGATCTCGGGGTTGTGAGTTCGAGCTCCACACTGGATGTAGAGATTACTTAAAAATTTTTTTTTTTTTAAGATTTTATTTATTTGACAGAGACACAGCGAGAGAGGGAACACAAGCAGGGGGAGTGGGAGCGGGAGAAGCAGGCTTCCCGCTGAGCAGGGAGCCCGATGTGGGGCCCGATCCCAGGACCCTGGAATCATGACCTGAGCCGAAGGCAGACGCTTAACGACTGAGCCACCCAGGCGCCCCTAAAAATAAAAATCTTAAAAAAAAAATTAGACATGCTTTGTGTATATGAGGTGCTTGGAGCATAGTGGGTAGTTTATAAATGGTATCAGTGAAAACGATTATTCAACCAGATAAATTTATCATTAAAACATTCTGACCTCGGAGTGCCTGGCTGACTCAGACTCTTGATCTCAGGGTTGTGAGTTTGAGTCCCACATCACGCATGGAGCCTACTTTAAATAAATAGATAAATAACATACTCCCCCTTTCCCCCTTCCCTGGCAAACATTCTTTTTTTTTTTAATATTTTATTTATTTGACAGAGAGAGACACAGCGAGAGAGGGAACACAGCAGGGGGAGTGGGAGAGGGAGAAGCAGGCTTTCCGCGGAGCAGGGAGCCCGATGCGGGGCTCGATCCCAGGATCCTGGGATCATGACCTGAGCTGAAGGCAGTCGCT